ACACACACACACACACACACACACACACACACACACACACACACACACACACACACACACACACACATAAAACCTTATCTTCACGCTACCTTGTTAAAAAATGAGCATAATTTATCTTTTTCTATCATGTTGCATAAAAAGTAGATACAAACTCCACAGAACAGGAAGTGGTCTTTCTGAGACATAAATTGTATATATTTTTAGAAGAATTAACATGCAATTAACATCAAAATCATGCACACTGATCTCTTTTTGATCATTTAGACTGTTGAAATTATAAGTATCATTAAAATCAACTTGAACGTTGAGTTTCGGCTAACTTGTAGCTTGCAGCTCATGTAGGATACATAAGAAAAATAAAAAACACAAAATGACAAATTTGGATGCTGGGATTCAGAAATGTTTAAAGGGGCAGAACTTCAATCTTTCCACAGTTTGGCTCATTCATTTTTCCCCCCTGATCACAATCAACCATTTCTGAAGAAAGAACCACAGTCTCCTAACACATGCTCTAACAGATGTCCTGCCTTCGATTCGTCTGGGGGGTGGTGGGGGGGGGGTGGGGGGGGGGGGGGTGCAAGTTCTCAGCAGGATTTAAAACAGGAGGGGAAATCCTTTTTAGTCATCTTTTAGGCCTTTGTTGTTCAGTCAAGGAGTGTTATTTGAGGTGTGGTTGTGTGGAGTAGTTATGAGCACTCACTATATTACCTGCAGTAAAGTAAATCAGGGTGATGTTTGCATGAAGGATTTAAGCAAAGAACTATTCAGAACACAAACATTTAAGATTACATTTCCACCATCCAAAACAACACAAATTACTTTTATCTTATTACTCTTTTAATAAACACCTGTTAATACAGTCATTATTTTCCAAATTGAACACCATTAGTGCTGCTACACTGATGCTTTCTTCACACTCTGTGAAAAGTGAAGAAACCTGCTCCCGCCGATGTAGTTGTGTGATGAAAATGATGTCATCTCGTTCTCATGGGAGCTCAGAGAACACGTTCACAGTGTGATTGGTCAGAGCTTTGTTGTAGGCATTTTTATGCAGGAAAGTGGGTGAACTACTCACAACGGCACAGTAGAAAAATTACAAATCTGACTTAGGGTCATCCTCCCTCTAGTTCATGTTTGTGCTACATTTTGTAGCTTTTATGGTCATCACTTCAGTCCAAGTATGGTTAATAACTAAAGTTTCTGTCCTGTCTGCCCACAAAGACCCTGTACTCCCTTCTTCCAGCTCTCCTGGACACCAACCCCTTTTCCAACGAGGAGAAAGAGAAAGAAAAGGATGCAGGCGCAGAGGGAGAAGAGAAGAAGGAAGGAGAAGGAGACGACGTGTCCGTCTTACCTCCGAAGGTGGCAGGACTGGTGGAAGTGTATCGCTGCTCCCTGATGCTGTCTCGTGAGGCCTGTCTCTCTCCGCCACTCACCTCCCAGACTTTTGGTTACCTCTTCTTCTTCACCAACACTTCCCTGCTAAATACTTTGCTGGAAAGAGGTGAGAGGGTGTCGATGAGTCACAAAGCAACAATCAAAATGTATTTTTAGAAAGACAGAATATAAAAAAAAACTCAAGCAGAACAACAAATGTTCTGCTGGTTGTTTCATGTTAATTTTTTTCTTTCTGTTATTTTTCTCACAGATGGGCTGTTTTCATGGTCCAGAGCAGTCCAGATCCGAACAAACCTGGACCTGGTTCTGGACTGGCTGCAGGGAGCAGGGTTAGGAGACATAGCTTCAGAGTTTTTGAAGAAACTTTCCGTCACTGTCAACTTTCTGTGTGTTCCTAAAACCCGACTCATTCAGGTAACAGCTGTTAGCGTTGTCTCTGTTCAAACTGAGATTTATAACATCATGAAAAGTAAAAGCTGCATAAATCCACTTTATTCAGAAGAAATCAACAAATAGAAATGGTCCATTGTATTAGCAAAATATCTCATGATTCAGTAGACAGATTTTAAAGAAATACTAAGAATGTGATAATTACATGCACATATGTAGCTGATTAACATTTGAAGTCAAACCTGTTTAATATGGCTGCTATAGCTAAGTAACTTTGGCAAATATAAAGTGTTGTAGTTGACCTTGTTTGTCTGTTAGCGAAATATATCATGAATCAGTGGGTAGATGTTAATGAAACTTTGATTAGATGCACTTCTACAGCTGATTAACGTTTGGAGGCAAACCGATTCAAGATGGCCACTACAGCTAATTAGACTTAACAAACACAAAAGTTGCTAGAATTTAGTCGAACTTGAAGATATTGAGCTAAAGTTCGATGTTGTCATAGCAGAGTTAGTCACAACTCATTTGTAATTTAGCTTTATCCTCCTTTTCTTGATTATATGAGAAGCATAAAAAGATAAGTGTAATGTTTTTAATGTTTCATGTCAGTCCTCGTGGTCCAGTCTAAAGGAAGAGCATGAACTGCTAAGTCCTGCCCAGCTGCACCACCTGCTCACTCATTACAAACTGGGACCAACCAGAGCTCCACCAGCGTCCTGGGCTCCTCCACCTGACACAGATCTGAGTGGAGGTAAAACCAGTAAACCCTATAAATGTGAGGATTTAACAATGACGTGCTCATATTTTTTCTTGTTCCTTTTTTTTAGACATCTTTGAGAGCTTTCTGGACCACCCGCCTCTCATCCTGCCCAATGAGACACCCCGCCTTGACCTCTCGCAGCCAATCCCAAGCCCCGAGCTCCAAAAGGAAGTGACTCGTCTCCGCACCTTCCTGTGGGGCCTTGATCAGGATGAGCTCCCTGCCAATCAGAGGACTCGGCTCTGAAGAGGACCAGACCAGATAAAAAAAAAGCAAACTGTATGGGTGTCCTATGTTTGATCGTCATATCATTTCCTTTAACTCAGTTTTATTTTCTTTTAAATTTCAAGCAAAACACTTATACTGGTTTTGTTATGTCTGATTCAATTTAAAACAGAGTGTAAACATCCATATCTGCTGGGCCACACAGTGTTATGCTTTCTATGACTCTTTCACTTGGCTTCCTTATATGTTTTTAAATGTCTTGTTTGGAATAAAATGCTGAATTCTTGTCTAAAAGCCTTTCCAGTTTCCGTTCGGTTATTGTTTCCCACAGTGGGGCCCCTGGAGTTTGGCACGCTGCTCAAGCTCCCACACCATTAAAACATTCCACAAGGTGGCGATGCAGGACTCGTTCCCCTTTAGTGTTAAATGATGAGTCTGCATGTAGAAGTGCTCGGCTTAGGAGCTGAACCATTATCATCTGCTCTAAAAGCACCACCTCATTTTTTTTCTTTTATTTCTAGACTATGGTTAGTTGTCATAAAGACCCAGTTTGTTGACTTGAGAGTTGGTAATGAGGCATCATTAATGTGGTAAAATTCCTATAAAATGTTGATTTAATTCAGGCCAAAACAGCCGTCAGCCACACGTACAGCAACAGTCAGGTGATTTCATCCCTCAGAGTGTGACCACATTGAACTTACTGGTCACAGTTTGGTCATATCCAGTCAGTTTCTTTGTCTAGTCTGCCAGATGTCCTGCAAGAATTATTCACTCCTTTTTTTCCCCTTTCTTCTTCTTTGTTTTGAGACAGAGGCCCCTGTGACGTTGCAGAAAACGAAATCGTGTTACTCCTCTGGTGTGCAGCCAAACGGCTTCCTTTCTTCCGGTCAGCTTCTCGGAGCTCCTTTACTGTAATAAGCTTGACAAAACATGGGTCCCGTGAGAAAGCCCTGCTTACATCACCCTTTCACTGCCTCAGGTTCTCCCCTCCATTCCTTACTGAGCTGACGTCGAGAAAAACATGACTGGTTATAGATCATGAATCATGTAAAGAAGAACTCTGTGGTTGACATTTATCAATTAGATGATTGTAATCACTCTCATTTGAAATTCAATGTGGTGAATGAGTGAGGGGGGCTGCTAATTTCAGCTTTCCAGTAATGTCATACAGATGTAGACTGTAGGTTTATAATTAAACACAGAAGGGGCAAGGGGATCAGGCTGGTATAGATCCACACCACGATTGTTTGATAGTAGTGTAGTCTGTGGTGACCACTGCCTGCTGGGATACAGTAGTCTCTGAATCTGTGGCGACTAACAAAGAAGGTTTAGTAAGCATGTGACGCACTGTTTTTTCTGATCTAAATCACTGACAAAGCCAAACTGTCATGCACACTTTCACCCAGATTTTGCACACAGACTTCTTCACCCAGGTGCTGCATCCCCACACCTGTTGTAGCAGCCTCGCCTGTAATTACCTCAGCCCAATTACCATTGGCCGATAAAAGGGAAGAGAGGAGTTTAAAAACAATGGCACAGTCATTCGGTACCTATCATCTCCTTCCCTCTCCTCGCTGTGGAGTAATGAAAGATTCTTCCCGTTCTTCAAAGAGACGGAGTTTCCTACAAAACAGCTGAGTCAGAGGAGAAAAGGATGAAAAGAAAAGGAGAACAGTAGGGAGGCGAGCGTGTTACGCAGCCCTGCTGCTGCTGGTGTGAGGCCCGTGGACCACAGTGATTGTGTTCATTGTAGTGCACACAGGAGTAATTTTCAGGAATCAGAAGGAGAAAAAAAAAGCCTGTGGCTCTCACACACTTTAACACAAACAGCTCCAACCCGACCCGGCAGGATCTCAGTTTCTTATCTGGGAACACTTTACCTGAGCTCTGCGTCATTCAAAAGCCTGGAGTATAAGGAATGTTTTCAAGTCACACGAAATGCCAAAAGGTCAGAATGTGAGGTCTTCTCTGAGAAGGGGAAAAGAAGGGACTTGTGAGGCGTGCTCTATCAGGGAATCAGGGGAGAAAGTATGAGCGTTTTGGTCCAAATTACTCAGGTTTGTCATTTTGAGTCGCAGACTGAAAATGTTTAAAAAGCTTGACTGTACGAGACACGCTCATCAGACAGTCAGCTCCAGACTAAAACAAAGTGAGAGTGGAATATTTTTCATGGCTGACTCCTGTGCTAAGGTCAGGAAGGAAACCAGGGAGCAGGGGAAGCTTTGTTGGGTCACAGGCAGACAGAAAGACAGACTGGGGGTGTAAGAGATGACTGAGAAGAAGGTCAGAGGTGCTGGAAGGGAATCGGTCTGTGTCTGACAGATGACAGGCTGTAGATGAGGCTGAAATAGACAGTGGAGCCTAGGTGAGGTGACTAAAAGGTCAGAAGAAAAGCAGTGGTAGTCCTCATGGGACACATCTGTTTCCTCATGTTACATCATCCAAACATAAAACCTTTTTCTTTTGAAGCAAATACATACACACTGAGAAGCAAACTCACAGAGGTGTATGCAGGGATATAAAAGAACCCCTGTGAAGTCAGATCCAACACGTTAAGGCCGTTTTACAGTCTCACAAGCTACAGCCACCACCAACCGCTGTACCTTGCCCTGCCCTTCCCTGCCCCGGCCCTGTCTCCACTGGCGGCTGTCTGTCCTGACCTGCTGATGCTGGTTCGGGCAGCAGAGCATGTATGTGTGCGCTGTTCAGTTTGGGACAGAGCCAGTGGCATCAGTTTGGAACCTGCGGTCTTTTCCTTTTTTCCTTGTCTATCCCCCCTCTTCTCGTCTTCCCTCCTGTTCTTGCTCAGTATGTTTCTCTCGAGCCTGGGGGGCTTGTGGGCCTGTGGGCAGGGGCCTTATTCCATCGGCCCGGGGCTTCTGTCAGAGTCTTGTTCCATTTTGCGTCATGGTGTTGACTGAACGGACCCCACACTTAACTCCCATAGAGCTATGGGGTTGGGCGGCAGGTCGGCCGGCGCGGGCTAACGCTGCCCGTGTTCAGCGTGGTAATCTGATGGCCGTGTTTATTTTATGTAGCTCTCCTTTGATGGGGCAGCAAAAGTCTTTGGGCTTTTTGTTTCTGCACTTTCATTGCCAGGTCAGAGGTGCTCGCAGTGGTTAGGCTCAGGAAGAATAATATTTGCCCTTATATTCACTCCAAACAGGCTTTTTTCCATATTAGTGTCAAGGATACTCTTTGGGTTTCTACCTTCCACTGATTCGGCACATTAGAGGTAAAGGGAGGTAGGGGAACCGCACCTTAAAAGCATTGCTCCCTGGAGGATAACACAAGTGTTCTCCGTAGGCCTGTTCCTACACCCCTGAGTATACCCCCATCCTGGTAAAATATAACCTGAGGGCATATGTATAAGTCCCAGTTGTGAAGGAAAACACACACATAAACACATGAAAACACTCTCCCTCTTGCTTGGCTCCCCCAGGCTCCACCTCAGCTGACAGTCATCCAAACTTCCCAGGGGTTCCTTTTAATGGAGTTACCAAAAAATAAATAAAAAAAACTTGTCTACCCCAGGCCTTTCACTACTTCAAACTCAAAGCTCACACACCCACCTATGTACCCTGCGTCAGCTGTTTCAGATGGGTCGAAAAGCCAAGAGACCGCACCGAGTCGTTATGTGAGGTTTTGACCAAAAATATACAAAACAGAGGCCGTCTCCACGCTCGCTGGATCGAGTTCTGACCCCAGCTTCTTCTGCACAAACACGCCGTAAAGTGCAACCAAATTCTCATGTACTGGCTCGCATATTATTGTCCTGCACTTATTGTTTCCCCATTAAAGTTGCGCTAAACAATGACCTGACCTGACCCAGGAGAGGTCTTGCTTTTTTTGTCATGAATGAAAGCCTTTCACTTTGAAGAATAATTAATAAATAGATTTTGGGAAAAGGAGCCCAGACTGTGGCTGGAAATATTGTTTATCTGTCTCAATATTGGTATTATAATTGCAGAAGCTTTACGCTGTGATCGTGATATTACAGGAATGAATCAGTTTCATTCAAGATAAGACACCCTGGGGAGTTTTATATGGATAATGTTTCATTTCCCCTCTCAGTCATTCATTATTTATGATCTGAACACAGAAAAGGACTGGGTTTAGGCCAGATGTGAACAATAGGCAAACGTTCAAAAAGTCACACACACACATGCACACATTTCATAAACAGAAACTAGATCACCATCTCTTATCTTGAATGTGATGATCAGAAAACCATCTACAGGAAGGACTGTCATGCCTCCTGCCTCCCTTCACATATTTCATTATGCACCTTCTGTTTTAAAACAGCGAACTAGCCTCCCCTGTGACTGTGAGGTATGTGCCTACTAACAACTGAAGGAACCTCTCCTCTGATGTAATCTGGGAAAAAACAAGAAAGGCAGAAGGAAGGAAATACCCAGGTGGTATGTAATCCAATTTGTCCTAAAAACAATGTGCCAAAACCAGCGCCAGCAGGCAGACAAAAATCTACGTGTAGGCTTATCGGCAGGCACTCGTGTCAAGTCAGATTTAGACAAGAAGCTAATCTGGATGAGGGTTTGGCGATGTGTCCGCACAATGAGGAAGACAGTGGAAAAGTTACTTTAGTGAGTCATTGAGAAGTGCTGCCAGTCAAATACCAGAATTAACCAGCTAGAAATGTAAGATGGTTGTCCTCTGACACCTCCATGAAGACCTACCAGAGGCTGATTGGGAGGTTTACCTTGTCTTTGATGTGCCTCTTTAGCAGTGGTCATCAACGAAACTTGCTCAAGCACCAGAAGTTTGAAAGCAGACAGAGCATGGTCTAGCCTTTGATTAGCCTTTTCTTCTGGTATGAAAAATCTCCATTCATCCATCTGTTTCAATCCATACATGGTCATGAAGAGCTGGTCCCTGTCTCCAGCAGATTTTGAACAAGAGGTGGGGTACACACTGAACAGGTCGATTGCTGGGACATAGAGACAAACAACCAATTTCCTTATTTCACAGCGGTTTTATGCAGCCTACCCTGGACTGTGAAAGGTGTGTCCTCCATGAGTCGCAGTCTAGGCTGCAGCTCCTGAATTGGGACAGCTAATGATACAGTTGTGGTCAAAAGTTTACATACACTTGTAAAGAAACATAATGTTATGGCTGTCTTGAGTTTTCAATAAGTTCTACAACTCTTATTTTTCTGTGATAGAGTGATCGGAACACATACATGTTTGTCACAAAAAACAGTCATAAAATTTGGTTCTTTCATAAATTTATTATGGGTCTGCTGAAAATGTCACCAAATCTGCTGGGTCAAAAATATACATACAGCAACATTAGTATTTGGTTACATGTCCCTTGGCCATTTTCACGGCAACTAGGCGCTTTTGGTAGCCATCCACAAGCTCCTGGCAAGCTTCAGGTTGAATGTTTGACCACTCTTCTTGACAGAATTGGTGCAGTTCAGCTAAATGTGATGGTTTTCTTGCATGAACCTGTTTCTTTAGCACTGTCCACATGTTCTCAATGGGGTTTAAGTCAGGACTTTGGGAAGGCCATTCTAAAACCTTAATTCTAGCCTGGTTTAGCCATTCCTTTACCACTTTTGATGTGTGTTTTGGGTCATTGTCTTGTTGGAACACCCAACTGCGCCAAAGACCCAACCTTCGGGCTGATGGTTTTAAGTTTTCCTGCAGAATTTGGAGGTAATCCTCCTTCTTCATTATCCCATTTACTTTCTGCAAAGAACCAGTTCCACTGGCAGCAAAACATCCCCAGAGCATAATACTACCACCACCATGCTTGACAGTAGGCAGTTTCGTCTGACCAGAGAACTTTCCTCCAGAAGGTTTTATCTTTGTCCATGTGATCAGCAGCAAACTTCAGCCGAGTCTTAAGGTGCCTTTTCTGGAGCAAGGGCTTCTTTCTTGCACGGCAGCCTCTCAGTCCATGGCGATGTAAAACACGCTTGACTGTGGAGACTGACACCTGTGTTCCATCAGCTTCCAAATCCTTGCAGACCTGCTTCTTGGTGATTCTTGGTTGACTCTTGACCATCCTGACCAATCTCCTCTTGGCAGCATGTGATAGCTTGCGTTTTCTTCCTGATCGTGGCAGTGACACAACTGTTCCATGCACTTTATACTTGCGTATAATTGTCTGCACAGTTGCTCTTGGGACCTGTAGCTGCTTTGAAATGGCTCCAAGTGACTTCCCTGACTTGTTCAAGTCAATAATTCGCTTTTTCAGATCCACACTGAGTTCCTTTGACTTTCCCATTGTAGCTTTTGTAGCTGACTCTAATCACTGGGTCAAATGAGCCCTATTTAAATGGGCTCATGAGAAGTCAACAGCTGTAGTCAATCAGAATCACTTACAAGAAGTGAAGAGGCCATGACATGAAGCTAATTTGATTGACACAACTCGCTACATCACCAAAATTGACAAATTTTGTTGCTGTATGTATATTTTTGACCCAGCAGATTTGGTGACATTTTCAGCAGACCCATAATAAATTTATGAAAGAACCAAATTTTATGACTGTTTTTTGTGACAAACATGTATGTGTTCGGATCACTCTATCACAGTAAAATAAGAGTTGTAGAACTTATTGAAAACTCAAGACAGCCATAACATTATGTTTCTTTACAAGTGTATGTAAACTTTTGACCACAACTGTACCTATAGGGTTAGGCATTTTAGAGATACCAGTTAGCCTAACATCTATGTTCTTGGTTTGAGGGAGGAAACAAGTTCTTGAAAAAAATCCATACATGCAGAGAACGAAATACAACCCCAGCTGAGTTTGAACCTGCAATGGTTTTCTGTAAGGTGACAGCAAAAGGTGAGCTTTAATTAGCTAAATCCTTGCCATTAGTCATTATGAGCTGGTCCTCAACTGATTTCTGCATCAAACTTTCCTAAATATATTAATAATTTAACACCCTGAGGGGCCGATAGAATGGGCTTGTGGGCCTTGTATGGCCCGAGGACCATCAGTTGATGATCACATGTCCAGCAAGTTCCACAAATTTCCCCGAATCTTACCTAACACCGGTTAGAGGAATAAAAGTTTTACGACTTTTTAGTTGCTATTTTTGAATACTGATTCTCTTTCATGTTTTTCCACTTTGTTTTCTTAAATCCGTGCCTTCCTTTCATTAGATAATTTACCTTCTATTCCCACCTATCACCCAGCGTCATCACTCTCTCTGTTCTCATGTGTCATGGCTTTCTCATAGCTGCTTTCGCAGCGCTTATTTTCTTTGTCAAATGTCTGTGTTCGGTCTTCCTGTCCCATCCCTCCACTTGCACTTTCTGTCGTCATCCCGCTCATTTCTCCCCTGTGAACGTTTGGGCCGGTGTTGTTTCTAAGCCTTCAGTCCAGTCTATTGCAGGGAATTTCCTTCTTATCAGTCACTGGGGCCATTCTTTGCATTCTTGGCATCTTTTCTGGCGCTGCTGAGGTTCCAGCCAGATGCAAGGGGTGTCTGTAAAACAAGGCAGGCGGTGGGGTGAGCCAACACATTCATACAGTTTCTAATGAAGTTGGACAGTGTGACTGATGAACCGAGAGAGGATGAGAAGAGGAGGAAGAAGAAAGGGGAGACATAAAAAGAAACTGGTGTCCGGGGGGGCAGTTTGGCCATGTGAACTTTGAGCTAAAAATAGAAAACATTGGATAGCTTTCATTTTTGAGCTGTTGACTCATAGAATGTTATTAATATAGTAAAACATGCAAGGCATTTAAAGGTATCTGGACAAAAGAGTTTATGGCTAATTAAAAGCAGCCAAGGGTCAAAGTGTGTCTCAAAGCCTGGACCAAAATAAAGGGTTAGAATAACTTTCATGTCATTCCCTTTAGTCACAGACATTGTACAATCCTGTAATTTCCCCTTGGGGTCAATAAAGTATTATCAATCAATCAACCCAAAGTAAAAGGTGCCTCTTACTCTGCATAATAAATAAGGCTTTTGTGTTGTCCCACAGTGAACAAAGGTTGAGAAAATAAAACCCAGGATGAATTTGGGATAGGACTAGGTGAGCAGATACACAAGAAAAAGGCCTTCTTTAGACTTGTGAGCCAGAGATGATGATGATGGCGGTAGGCAAGAATGCAGAAAAACACATAACTGTCATATCTTTGTCAATTCCGGAGATAAGATTGCATGTCCACGAAGTATGAAAGACAGATGGTTTGCAATTTATATAAACACTTGCAGCAAATGTTTTCATTCCAGAAGAGGATACGAAAGAAAAGAAAATAATGAACAATACAAATCTGTAAACAGGGGTGCCCAAACGTTTTTCCTGAGAGGGCCAAAATTAAAATCAATCTGAGGGCCGCGGGCCAAATGCAATAATATAAGAAATGCTTAATACTTAAGTAAAGTTGTTTTATTTTTTATGATTAAGCTAGCAGCCAGTGTGGTTGCCCACGTCCTTTGTTTTGTTTTGTTTTTTTTCAGCCCATGCACATGGAGAAAATTCAACGTATGATCAGGCAGCAAAGGCTCATGAAACTTCTCATAATTTAAAATGAGTAAATGTGGTCTTATAAGCTGTGAAAATCTATAGATGGTCTTAAATCTAATTAAATGTCTCTTGTAGTTACTTGTATTTTATATTTAATCTTAACA